AATTAAATCACTGTAAAGAAACTACATTTCCTGGCAATCCCTGGTTCTATCTGCAGTTACAGAAGGGGTTCTGTCTCCCCAAACCCTGTCACTGGGTGACTCTCAGCCAGGACAATGCTGCGTGTTGGGCTCATCAGGAAAATTGTATCACTATAATTAAAACAATCATTGTCTAATAAAAACCACCCCTTGGAAAACAATGGCAGCAATTACACACAGGGTGCTCAAGGAGCTGCTGATGCTCACCGAGATAAGAATGTCAGAAAGTAGGGGGGGTCATTTGCATCTCAGACTTCTTTTTATCATATTTAGAAATTTCAGCACGTTCAAATTTATCCAGAGAGCTGGATTTCCCCTCAGCACTGAACTCGATCAGCTTCTTGCTATTTTCAGAAAATAATTGCTCTGTTCAAGTTCCATAAAACAGCAGGAAATTCCTCTGGGCCTCCTTTTCACCTCCAATCTCACACCTGAGCCCTGATTTCATGGAGCCAACATCCTCCTCTGGGTCAGAGCTTAACAGAAAGCCCAGAAAAGCCCCCAAATCCCACTCCTGACTTCAGGAATCCACCTGGAAGCTCTGTCCCAACATTCCTCAGCCCAGCCAGGAGCTGCTCCAGCCAGCAGAGCATCCCCCAGAGATGCTTCTCCAGGAGCACGGGCAGGGCCACCTCCACCTTCTCCAGCCACCCAGGAACCGACCAGCGTCTCAGGAGCTCCACTGGAAGCCAAACTTACCCAGGTCATGGGAGGGAAGGACGGGAGGGAAGTGCCTGGGAGAGCCCCGGCACGGCCAAGCCTTTATAGGGTGACCGAGTGCCCCAGGGGACTGAGGTGGTTGGGTTGGTGAGGCTCTAATTGCCTCCCAGTCCTGGCTGAGCCACGTGCAGCTCTGGGACTGGCCCGGCTCCGTGGGGCTGTGGGGACACCGGGACGGATCCCCCCGAGCTCCCAGGGATCCCCCCAAGCTGAGGGGCTGCACCAAAAACCCCTGCGGGGCCCGGGACACCCCACACAGGGGCTGCTCGTGGTGCTCACGGGTGGGAGCAAAGCATCGCTGCCTGCCCGGGGCAATCCCAGCTGGAACACCCCTTCCCACCCAAAACCAGGGAGCAGCCCAAGGAACTCCTCATTTCCCCGGGAGCTTCGGGCAGAAACCCCTTGGGAGCCTTTGAAAAGGCCGTCCAGGAAGGACTCGGCTCCCGCAGCCCGTCATTACCAGGGCACTTCCTTCACCTCCACGGGCAGCCCAGGGAACAGAGGGCTCATTAGGGCTGAGAGGGCCTTGGGCTGAGGGCAGGACAGCTCCCAAAAATGCCCCGTCACAAAGGGAATGAGAAGGGAACGACCTGCCCGGAGAGGTGACGCTTTTCCGGCCCAACGAGGAGGGGAAGGGCCGAGCTCTGGGGGAGAAGCAGCTCCACAAACCAGTGCCCTGACAACAAAAAACCCCATTTCCTGCTCTGCTGCACATTCCCTGCTCCAGTCATCCCCGCCTTTGTTCCCTGTTTGTGCCACCAATGGGAAAATTGGCAGTGGCGGGAGCAGGAGTTGCCGGCTGGGAATGCGCTTGGGAAGAGTCATAAACACGGGGGGGAAGGCTCTGGAATTCTTGTTTCCCTTTAATATGAATCCCACAGCTCTAAATTGGGTGTGGAATTCGGGTGACGTCCCACAGCTGGAATAAAAAGAGAGGGAATAATCACAGAATCACCTCCTGAGCTGGAAGGGACCCACGGGGATCATTGATCCCAATTCCTGGACATCCCAAAATTCCACCACGAACCCGAGAGTTGTCTGAACCCTCCTGGAACTCTGGCAGCTTTGGGGCTGTGCCCTGGGGAGCCTGTTCAGTGCCCAACTATCCCCTGGGGGAAGAACCTTTTCCCAGCATCCAACCCTGAGGGGAAATAAGTGACTTTTCAATGGAGCAATTGGAAAATCCCTCATCAATAGGAAGCCCCAGGATGCTGCTGGTTTGCCTTCCCTGGGGGCTGTGAAAGGATCTCCCAGGGATGGGGTTTATTGGTGGGATTGGCTGTGCTACATTTCCAGCTGGACCCCATGACCTGAAGGGCCTTTCACTTCAAGAATTCCATGATTTGGAGCGGGATATCGAGCTCTCCTTTATGAACCACCAGCTAAATTTCCTATTTCTTTTTTTTTTTTTTTTCCCCCCAGAAAATCCAAAAGCCTGAAGGCACCTTTGTCACCTGCATTTTTTTATTTGCACTTCCCTCACCACCACGGGAAACAACAGGGACAAAGGGCTTGTTTTCCAGGTTAATCCCAACATTCCAAGAGCTGAAGGGAGGGACACCGGAGACAAAGCCTGACTCCAGCCTGGATCCCTCTAACTTTTATTGTGCTTCCCTCCCCTGAGCCACAAGGCCCTTTTTAATGGTAAATGATCTGACCCCAGATTTTAGGAGCCCAGCTGGCGTCGGGGAGCAGATTAAGGCAGTTTTTATGAGCTCCACCAGCCCAGTTCCCGGGGAAGCTCTGGATTAGGTCGTCTCCAGGTAATCCCAACCCCCAGTTTGGTGTTTGAAGCTCTGGATTAGGTCGTCTCCAGGTAATCCCAACCCCCAGTTTGGTGTTTGAAGCTCTGGATTAGGTCGTGTCCAGGTAATCCCAACCCCCAGTTTGGTGTTTGCAGAGCAGGAGCAGAGCCCCAGCGATGATCCCATCGGGACCTGTCATCCAAACGACCCTAATTAGCATCTCTGAGGGCCTTTCATCTCGGGGAGACTCCTGGAGCCACACGGGGCATGGGGGGGGGTTATTACTGCTAATTAAGCACAGGGAAAACCGAGGCAGGGTTGAGTCAGAGCCGGGGCAGAACCACAGACTCCAGCACGGGCACCTCCCAGACGAGGTCCCTGGGAGGGAGAGGAGATCCTGCAGCTCCCCCAGCACCCAGAACGGCTTCCCTACGGATCCCCCGGGCTCGGGGTCCTCTGGGAAAGCCCCGGGGCCGTGGAGATGGGGCAGCTCCTCCAAGGGGCACAGCCTGGCTCGGGAACAGGCTGGGAGAGCTGGGAATGTTCAGCCCGGAGAGGAGAAGGATGTGGGGAGACCTCAGAGCCCCTTCCAGGACCTGAAGGGGCTGCAGGGAAGCTGGAGAGGGATGTTCATCAGGAACTGGGGTGACAGGACAAGGGGGTGGGTTCAGACTAAAAAAGGGGAAATTTAGGCTGGATATAGGGAAGGAATTGTCCCCTGTGAGGGGGGGGAGGCCCTGGCATAGGTTGCCCAGAGAAGCTGTGGCTGCCCCATCCCTGGGAGTGTCCAAGGCCAGGCTGGAGCATCCTGGGCTGGTGGGAGGTGTCCCTGTCCCTGGTAGGGGGTGGGATGAGCTGATTTTCCAGGTCCCTTCCAACCCAAACCATTCCAGGACCCTGTTCCTTCCTTTCAGAGGGGACACAGGTTGGGGGAACCTCCCAGGTGTTGGGGTGAGGAGCTCCCCGGTCACTGCTGCTCTTCCCCCTGCCCTTGGGGGCCAGAACATCCCCCCCAGACCAGAACATCCCCCCAGACCAGAACATCCCCCCCAGACATCCAGGAGAAGGGGATCAAGGGCTCTGCTCCTCCAGGAGCCCTGGGAAGCAGCCAAGATGCCACCACAAGGTCACTGAGCCAGGGTGGGGCAGGGCAAGATGCGGGACAGCGTCCTGGCCCGGGTCACACCCTCCTCTTCCTCTTGCAACACTTGTTTTTACCCTCCAAACACCCCTGAGCCACTTGGCCCGAGCTCATTTTCCTAATGACAGGGCCCATTACAGGGCCTGTGTCTTTTTTTTTTTTCAGGCAGGACTTCACCATATTTAATAAAAAACAACCCCCAGGAGGCAGAAAGACGAGATTTGTAATCCGAGCTCAGACAGCTCTGTTTATTTAAGTCTCTCTATATGTAAATATACATACATGTGTGTACAAATAAAGTTTATTTTCAACACAGTGAAGAGTGCAGGTCTTGGAGCAGCACAAAGAACACAATCAATTGCATTTTACAGCTTAAACATTTACAAAACAGCCGTGCTGCAACTTTCAGTGTTATTTCAAAGGCTTGCTTTTGTTTCAGGTGGTGAGGTTTGATTTTAATTAAAGCAACCAAGTGAAGGAAAACCTTCGGTTTCAGCTTCAGGGAGCCAGAAATCCTGCCCTGTTTAAGGGCTCGGCTGAGGGAATTTCTGGCCACTTCCCAAAGGGAAAGCCTTTGGAATACGGCCTCTCCTGGGCCTTTTCCCCTCTTAGGAGGACAAACTGAGAGAGTTGGGCTTGTCCCACCTGAACACGAGGAAAAACTTCTCTCTGGGTGCCCAAACACCCCGGGAGGGGCTGGAGTGTCCCTTCCCTCCCTGGGGAGATCCCAGAACTCTCCGGGCTGTCCCTGCCCGAGCAGGGAGGTTGGACCCACGGGGGTCCCTTCCAGCCTCCCCCATTCCGGGATTCTGGGTAAGATTCTTGGACCTTTTGCTCCACAAACCCACCTCGGGCTCCCCAGTAAGAACCAGTTCAGTGGAACCCAACTGGACCTGAACTCTGAGTCCCAGTTCCAGGATTAAACCCGGAGCTGGGCAGGGGCCAGCCCTGCTCCAGCAGCACTCCCAGGTGGTGCTGCCGTGGTCTGGACTCCTGGGACGTTTCTCTTTCTTTAATTATTATTATTATTATTATTATTTTGCTTTAAAATCACCGTTTATTCGAATCGGGTGAGAATTTAATCCCACCCCACCAAACTGTGCCTTGCAGCAGATCCAGGGACGAGCCACAGGCAGCTGGAGAGCAGCCCTGGGAATGGGATCACACGGGAATGGGATCACACGGGAACGGGATCACACCCAGGCAGAGCCGAGCTCCAGGGGAAACGTTGGAAAACAGGGATAAAGCGGATTGGAGAGACAGGAACCATCGGCAGGTGCCCGAGGAGACAAATAACCCCCGTCCCAAAGCTGGACCTCACCCTTTTCCAGGGGTTTTCCTTCCCCTGCTCCTTTTCACCAGGGCCATTTGGGGGCTGAGATGTACTTTTTTAAGTGACTGGAAATTTTCACCCCACCTGACTGACAATGCTGCTGAGGGACACCCTGGGTGGCACTTTGCTGAGGGACACATTGGGTGGCACTTTGCTGAGGGACACATTGGGTGGCACTTTGCTGAGGGACACTCTGGGTCACACTCTGGTAAGGGACACAGCTGGTGGCACTTTGCTGAGGGACACACTTGGTGGCACTCTGATAACAGACACACTTGGTGGCACTCTGCTGAGGGACACACTGGGTCACACTCTGGTAAGGGACATAAATTGTCCCAGACTGCTGAGGGACACACTTGGTGGCACTTTGCTGCTGAGGGACACACTTGGTCACACTCTGATAACAGACACACTTGGTGGCACATGGCTGAGGGACACATTTGGTCACACTCTGCTGAGGGACACACTTGGTGGCATATCTTTGCTGCTGAGGGACACACTTGGTCACACTCTGGTAAGGGACACACTGACTGGCACTTTGCTGAGGGACACATTTGGTGGCACATGGCTGAGGGGCACATTTGGTCCCACTCTGGTGAGGGACACACTTGGTGGCACTTTGCTGAGGGACACACTTGGTGGCACATCTTTGCTGCTGAGGGACACACTTGGTCACACTCTGATAACAGACACACTTGGTGGCACTTTGCTGAGGGACACACTTGGTGGCACATGGCTGAGGGACACATTTGGTCCCACTCTGCTGAGGGACACACTGGGTGGCACTTTGCTGAGGGACATACCTGGTGGCACGTTGCTGCTGAGGGACACAAACTGTCTCACCCTGCTGCTGGGGGACACAAATGGAGGCACAGTCGGTGGCACTCTGCTGGGGGACACACTTGGTCACACACCTGGAGGCCCATTGCTGGGGGACAGAGGAGATGACACTCTGCTGGGGGGCACAGGAGGTCTGCTGGGGGATGTAGGAGGTGACACCCTGCTGGGGGACACAGATCTGCTGGGGTATGTAGGAGGTGCCACCCCGCCGGGGTCCCTGGCAAGTCAGGTACGGGTACGAGCCCCCCTTGGCCGCTCGCTGCTGGGGGACACAGGTGGTGACACACCTGGGCACGCCCTGCCGGGGGCACAGGGTGGTCACACACTGCTGGGGGACACACCTGGTGGCACTCTGGTGCTGGGGGACCCCCTTGGTGGTGCGGGATGGCCGAGGGACACAGGTGGTCACGCACCTCTGCTGTGGGGGGACGGCGGCGGGCGGGCGCTGCTGCTGCTGGGGCACGCACTGGGTCACGCCCTGGGGCTGGCACACGCCCGCCACGCCCGTGGGCACGCAGGTGGTCACACACCGAGGCTGCTGCAGGACACGCTGGGACGGTGGCACCGCCTGGGCCACGCTCTGCTGCGGGGACACGGCGATGGGCGGGCACGGCGGGGGCACCCGCTGCTGCTGGGGCACACACTGGGTCACCCCCTGGTGCTGGGGCACACACTGCGTCACCCCCTGGTGCTGGGGCACACACTGCGTCACCCCCTGGTGCTGGGGCACACACTGCGTCACCCCCTGGTGCTGGCAG